CTGGACATGTTTAATAGCAAAAAGTAAAAAAAATATAGTTTTTTTCTCAAAATTGTCGGTCTTTTTTTTTATGGCGCAACAAATAAAAAATACAAAGGCGATCAAATACCACTGAAAGAAATCTCCATTCGTGGGAAAAAATACGTAAATTTCATTTGGGCGCAGCGTTGCATGACTGCGCAATTGTCAGTTAAAGTAACGCAGCGCCGTAACGCAAAAAATGACCTGGTCAGGAAATGGGGGGGGGGGGGGGGTCCTCAGGAGGGAAAGTGGTTAATGTACAATGCCATTTTATTTTTTACTTCTATCTATCCATTCAGTCGTATCCGACCCTTGGCGATTGCACGGACCGTCACTCGTAAGCAACTTTTTCCATGAATTCTCTTACCAATTATTTTTTACAGGGTAGGTTGCCAGGTCTTTCCCCAACCCCCACCATGCAGGAGATCCCACTAGGACAATTTAGACAGGAGCCACTTAACCTACCAGCATATCTTTGGAGTGTGGGAGGAAACCGGAGTACCCGGTGGAAACCCACGCAAGCACAGGGAGAACATGCAAACTCCATGCAGGAGGCGCCATGGTCGGGAATCAAACCCATGACCCAATTACTGCACGGCAGCTGTGCTAACCACTAAGCCACTGTGCCGCCCATTTATTTATATACTTATTATTATTATTTTTTTTTTGGAACTAAGGATGACACAACTAGAGCGGGAGGGAGGGACTCGTTCTCTCCTGATTATGTGCAAACTGAAGGGACCTGTAAATCATGAGGCACTACTACTTCTCCTTCTTACACTCCCCACCAATAACCTGACCCCTAGTTCACAGCCATATTTTTTCCTCCACCCTTTGCCCGCACACTTAACCCTTTTGCCACCAATTGCTATCCCGAAGGAACTGTCCTCAGTCATGATGCCTGCTGTGTTTATAACACAGGGCATTGCTTTATCACAACTTTCTGCTTCATTAAAGCGGAGCTCCACCCGAAAGGGAAAGTTCAGCTTTAAGGCCTCATCCCCCGCTGCCCGTTAGGGATTGGCACCTTTGGGGAGCGGGTACCCGAAATCGACAGGTACCCGCTCCCACCCGCTTAGGCGATTAGTCCTCCCCTTCTCCCTGCCCCGTAGTCTTCTGGGACAAGTGACAGGTCCCAGAAGACAACGGGGCCATTCACAAAGTGCAGCGCTTCTCATGCATGCGCAGTGGGCACCCGGCTGTGAAGCCGCAAGCTGTCACAGCCGGGTGCCCACGGTGAAGATGCCGGCGCCAGGGAGAGAAGATAGATGGTGAAACCAGCGGTGGTGAGGACACCGCTGGACCGAGGGACAGGTGAGTGTCCATTTTTTAAACGTCAACAGCTACAGATTTTTTTAAAATTTTCACTGGAACTCCGCTTTAAGGACCAGCCATCCCTGTAAAGAAGAGAGGAGGCAGGAGGACCCTGTGCATCATGTGACTAGTCAGAAAAACAGATATGCACGTTGAGTAGGTGCAGCGTGGTGTGGCCGGCAGGGAACAGTTGGCAGAAACAATGTATGGTAGAAGTAGTTGAGCTTGTACAAATGAGAAGGATCGCTGTTGCAACTGTTCAGCGGTGAGAGAGCAGACAGAAGACCCAAAGACGTCAACAGTGTCTACCATGAGGGGCGGAATGTGGCCTGTCTGGTGCAACCAGGGGCGGACTGACAACTCATGGGGCCCCTGGGCAATAGGGGATCATGGGGCCCTTGTGTCCTCGCCCCCACACCCAAAAAAAGCCTATGAAAAAGCCAATTAAAAGGTACCAAGGGCATCTCATGGGCCCCCTACTGATCCCGGGCTCTGGGGCAGTGCTCAAGTGCTCGAATGGTCAGTCCGCCCCTGGGTGCAACCCAAAAAGGAAGCTTCCTGTTGAGGTAGACATGGTCCCTGCTCTCCCTATTCCTCCGGAACCTTTCTCTAACACTCAGCACTGTCCCAGATGGGGAATCTGTCCCTACACTAGCCACTCGCATAAAATGCACCAAACCCAGGGGTTAGAGTCTTAAATAGACTCCGCCTGACACAAGATGGCCGTCGGGGTCACATGGGTCATGAGCATCCAATAGGATCCCTGGTCCAAGTGTCTGAGGAAATAATAGAGAAACCCAGTTTCTCTTAACTTATTCCTCCATCTGCATTTCCATTGTGGAGACTACAGACTGCCCCTGTCTACACCCCCCCCCCACCTTTTGACAGACGCTGTCAGGGGCGGGCTGACCATTCGAGCACTCGGGCACTGCCCCAGGGCCAGGGGTCAGTAGGGGGCCCCATGAAATGCCCCTGATACATTTTATAGGCTTTTTTGGGTGTGCTTTGAGTGTGGGCAAGGACACAGGGGCCCCATGATCCCCTTTTTCCCGGGGCCCCATGAGTTGTCAGTCCGCCCCTGGACGCTGTCCTCAGCATCGCAACACAAGAGAAACAACACACAACTGGATAAAATAACTATCAAAATAATACATGGCGAGCGCTGTATATAAAGCAGCCAGCACAAGAGACAATGACAAAAGATCTCACAGAAACATATAAAGTGCAGCGCTAAATCATATAGTGAAACATCAAAGAGTTTACACATAAGTGCAAACAAAGCATAAACATCAATGAAGCAATAAATAAATAAAGTCCATACGGTATAATAATATGTGCTGGTGTAAATCACAAACAAAGCGACATATTATAGTCCATACATGTGCCAGTGATACTGTAATTCGCAAAACAGCAACGTATCCGGCTCCAATACAGTGCCAAGGGATCCAGTGAACACTCCACCACCACTATGCACTCACCAGAATGCTACTGGTATAGTATCAGTGATCGATGTACATATTCACAATCCTGTGTGCTGGAGATCCTCCAAAATGGCGCCGCCCTGGATCACGGACATGGCGGCGTGACATCAGCACACAGGCTCCACCCAACTCGTTCCGTGCCCATGCACGTCCTCAGGGATATGCCCATTGGGCAGCTGCTCTGGATCACAGACACGGCAGCATGACATCAGCACGTAGGCTCCACCCAACGCGTTCCGTGCGCATGCACATCCTCAGGGATACGCCCATTGGGCCGCCACTCCAGATCATGGACACGGCAGCATGACATCAGCATGTAGGCTCCACCAAATGCGTTTTGTGCGCATGCACGTCCTCAGGGGTACACACATTGGGCCGCCGCTCCGGATCTCGGACACAGAGGCATGACGTGTCAGGGCTCCAGGTATGACCAGGGGTGTGTGGACTGACACAGGGAAACGCAGGCTTCAGGTATAGTATAAATAATACAATATATTCAAGACTAAACAATACATAAACGCAGTGCAAGGCTAAACATAAACACAGTGCAACACACACCAAACCTCCAACAGATAACAATAAGAACAATACTAAACATAGTCGGGCAGGCCGGGTCGGTAGCAAACGGGCAGGCAAGGTACAAGGAGCAGGCGGAAGAGTAGTCAGGAATAGCCGAGGTCAGTACAGGCAGAGTTCATGCAAAGTCAGGATTCAAGCAGGCAGGATCAGGATATAGGGGCCAAGGGAGACTATACACCAAGGCACTGGCTGCAAGCCTGGCCACTCCTTAAATACACCTCCTGTAATCAGCTTCAGGTGATGACTTGATTGCAGGAGTGAGCTTCTGGCTGCTGAGAGCACCCGCTGGCCAGCCCTGGTACTGCAGCCCACATGGCAGGTGAGTCCCACCACCAGTGGTGAGTCCATTCCTGACATGACGTCAGCACTTAGACTCTACCCAACAGGTTTCGTGTGCATGCATGTCCTCAGGGGTACACACATTAGGCCGCCGCTCCGGATCTCGGACTCAGAGGCATGACGTCAGCAGTTAGACTGGACTGGCTTAAGGGCTCATGTACGCTGCAGCTGATAAACTTACATTTACGAGCTGTTCAGCGGTTTTTTTTCAGCATCCCCTGAACTCTCCCTAGTGTTCTCCTATGTGTCCATGTACACATCTATGTTTACAGTCATTTACAGGCAGTTGAGTTACAGTCCTTTTTTTGAAAGCAGAAAACTTGAGTTTAGCAGTCGATTTTATCAGCGTTTCAAATGTAAAACGCTCGTAAATGTGGCTAAACGCAGCAAATCGCGTTTATAAGCGTTTGCAAATTTTTTTCAACTCTTCCAGTTCCCTATGCTGTCCAGAGCCTTTTTTCAAAATGCATGCAAAGTGTTTTCAAAGTACTCAAATGGACAAAACACTGAACACAGGATGTTCCTACCAAGCTTGTCACACATTGCAATGACTAATTCACACCTCAGACCTCTCCCACCCTTGGAAACAAAAGATATGTTAATGACCATTCATACCTCAGACCTCTCCCACCCTTGGAAACAAAAGATATGTTAATGACCATTCACACCTCAGACCTCTCCCACCTTTGGAAACAAAAGATATGTTAATGACCATTCATACCTCAGACCTCTCCCACCCTTGGAAACAAAAGATATGTTAATGACCATTCACACCTCAGACCTCTCCCATCTTGGAAACAAAAGATATGTTAATAACCATTCACAACTCAAATTCCTCATGAAGACCCCCTGCCAGGTGGCCTTGATGACTCCCCCCACCAGACACCTTTCCCACCCTTGGAAACAAAAGAAATGTTAATGAGCAACTCACACCTGAGCTAATCTCAACACATACTGCTGTCTCTGCTTCTACTCTCTGTATTTCTCTGAAACAGTCTGAAATAGTTAATAATTTACCACTTCTCAGTGCATTCTGGGCATTTGGGAGGTTCTCCTGTGCTTATCTTTAAAAAATGCTTCTAAATGCAAACGCACATGAACGCGGTATGCAAACGCGGCTAAACAAACGTTTTTTTATGTTTTCCAGCAGTCAGTTTCCATTGTTCAATAGTGTCCCGTGTACATGGGGCCTAACAGTACCATAACGGTCCACTCTCCTCCTTCCCCACCAGCTGCAAAGAGGGGCATATGCTGCCGACTGCCTCCAAGTGTTGAGTAGGTGCAGCGTGGTCTGGTAGGCAGAGAACACACAAAGTCCCAGCTGCCAGAAATGATGTATTGTAAAAGAAGTTCAAACAGGCCTGGGGTAAAGATTGCTGTGTGATGTCACGTACAACAGTTCAGTGTCGCGAGACAGCAGTCAGGAGACCCAAGGGTGCCATTCATAAATGGCGCCTGCCACTTTGGACTGTGAGCGCTCCCTGGGAGCTCTCAGCACCGTGTCCCGGTACCCACTGTGTCCTCTGGACACAGTGGAACACCGATCATCATACAGGACCTCTGTGCGAGGTCCCGATCATGTGATCACTGATTGGCCAATCAGTGATCACATGAAGAGTAGTAAGCAAGATGTCACTTTTGACATCATTGCTTACTACGTATGAAATCTGTGAATGATCACAGAGATCACATGGTACAGGGCTATTCACAGCAGCCTTGTACCATGTGACAAGCTGTGACCAATCACAGCTCACACAGTATTTCTCAATGGATGCAGGAATGCACACAGAGAGAAGCAGAAATTATTGATTTTACAGCCTTTATGGGTGTAAAAGCAATCAGTGAGAAAAAAAAAATAATTTTTCATCACCCCCCACAAGTAGTACAGTGTCACCATGGTGGGCGGCATTTTTCAGGGGGGCAGCACCTCCCCCCAGAAGTAGGGATGAAAGAAGGTGCACGGGAACCAGGTGGGATCTGAGAGAGGTTCGTGTCCGTGGGGGCATACAATTTTTGCCTAGGGCAGCACAAAACCTAAATACATCACTGATTTAGGCAAGTACTCACTATAAAGGGTTATGCAGGCCATAGACGGATGTTTTTTTTTTAAAGAAAACAAAACAAAAAAATCGGTCGTTCGATCGGCCGTCGTTACCACCAACAGTAAAAAAAAATCAGCCAATTTTCATCCCGTCTACGGCCGGCATTTAACCCCATAATTACTTCTGTCCCTTGCAGAGAGCTCCGCTATTATATTTTATATGAAAAGTGTTGCGGTTGCAACAATGTATCCATTTGTATCCATTTCAGATACAGATGGTTTTATTCGGATACAAATAGATACATTGTTGCAACCGCAAGACTTTTCATATAAAATATAATAGCGGACTGGAATTCTTTTTCTTCTTTTTCTTCTTCTTGCATGTCACGGCTCATGCGCAGATTTTTTATCGGTAAACCAATCGGCCGATTTGCCCATCATTGCCGGGAAAATTGGCCGATCATCAAAATCAGCAGCAAAATTTCCAACATGACCAATAAAAAAAGTGCCAAAACCCTGAAAAATGGCCGGCCAATTAACCCACTAACGGTGCCAAAATCGGCCGATTTTTTTCTTTCGGATGATTTCTTCTTTCGGCTGATTTTTGACCCGTCTATGGCCTGCATTAGGCTTCGTTCATTTTTCATTTCGGAGGTTTACAACCATTTTAAATTAAAATGAATTAAATTGGCCCGAACCATGACAGCTTCCATGTAACTCGTCTTGCTACGCCAAAGTCACTGACGGCAGATTGATTTCACCTCGTACTTTGCGGCTTGTATATAAAGTATGGTGATACGAACACGATGATACGAACAAGTCTTCTTGTTTTCTATCCCCATCAATTGGCTCCCAACTGCCGTTTCTGAAGTCCAGAATTGAACATGTAACAAGGATCCTGACCCGTGACTTATAAGCGGGAGGAAATGTCGGCACTTTTCATTGATGAGCTCCTTCCAGCATACTTCTGCTCTTTGGCATATTTTCCTAATTTATTTCAGGATTTAAATAGAACTTCAGGAGTCATTATGGAACCGTGATCCATGGAGGCCCGGGACCTCAGACTCCGCTTTGCCAGATCTTATTATATACAATCATTACATTCTGAATGGCTTGTTCAATAACTGCAGAGCGTGCGGTTAGCACAGCAGGTGCCTTAACTAGGGCTTGTTTTCAGCGGGAACGTGGAGCAATCCAGTATGTACAGTGATTACAAGGGGTCCTGGGGTGTGCTGAAGGGGCTATTGATGGCTGGCTGCTGGGGATCTATTGTTGCTTGGTGGGATCTATTTTTATGTAGTGGTCTATTTTTGCTTGGGAGGTCTAGAGTTGCTGAGGGGGGAGGGGGCTTATGTTGCTGGGGTAAATTGTTGCTGGAAGAGATCTACTCTTGATGGAGGGAGTCTATTGTTGCTGGCTGTTGGAGAGTCCATTGATGCTGGCAGTTGTAAGACCTATTGTTGCTGCTGGAGTCTATTGTTGCTGGGGGGTGGTATTTTGTTGTGGGGGTCCATTGTTGCTGGGAAGAGTCAGTTTGTTTCTGGCTGCTAGGTACTTTTGATGCTGGCTGCTGTAAGATCTATTGTTGCTTCTGGGGTTTATGGTTGCTGGGTTTTTTGTTGTGGGTGTCCATTGTTTCTGCGGTAGTCAATTGTTTCTGGCTGCTAGAAAGTCCATTGATGCTGTGCTGCTGTAAGACCTATTGTTGCTGTTGGAGTCTATTATTGCTAGGGGTGGTATTTTGTTGTGGGGATCCATTGTTGCTGGGGTGGTATTTTGTTTTGGGGTTCATTGTTGCTGGGGTGGTATTTTTTTTGTGGGGGTCTATTGTTGCTGGGGTGGTATTTTGTTGTGGGGTCCATTGTTGCTGGGGTGGTATTTTGTTGTGGGGGTCATTGTTGCTGGGGTGGTATTTTGTTGTGGGGGTCCATTGTTGTTGGGGTGGTATTTTGTTGTTGGGGTCCATTGTTGCTGGGGTGGTATTTTGTTGTGGGGGTCCATTGTTGCTGGGGTGGTATTTTGTTGTGGAGGTCCATTGTTGCTGGGGTGGTATTTTGTTGTGGGGGTCTATTGTTGCTGGGGTGGTATTTTGTTGTGGGGGTCCATTGTTGCTGGGGTGGTATTTTGTTGTTGGGGTCCATTGTTGCTGGGGTGGTATTTTTTTGTGGGGGTCCATTGTTGCTGGGAGGAGTCAATTGTTTCTCGCTGCTAGAGACTCCATCGATGCTGGCTGCTGTAAGATCTAATGTTGCTTCTGGGGTCTATGGTTGCTGGGTGATATTTTGTTGTGGGGGTCCATTGTTTCTGGGAGGAATCAATTGTTTCTGGCTGCTAGAAAGTCCATTGATGCTGGCTGCTGTAAGACCTATTGTTGCTTCTGGAGTCTACTGTTGCTAGGGTGGTATTTTGTTGTGGGGGTCCATTGTTTCTGGGGTGGTATTTTGTTGTGGGGGTCCATTGTTGCTGGGGTGGTATTTTGTTGTGGGGGTCCATTGTTTCTGGGAGGAGTCAGTTGTTTCTGGCTGCTAGAGAGTCCATTGATGCTGGCTGCTGTAAGATCTAATGTTGCTTCTGGGCTCTATGGTTGCTGGGTGATATTTTGTTTGTGGGGGTCCCATTTTGTTGTGGGGGTCCATTGTTTCTGGGAGGAGTCAATTGTTTCTGGCTGCTAGAAAGTCCATTGATGCTGGCTGCTGTAAGACCTATTGTTGCTGCTGGAGTCTATTGTTGCTAGGGTGGTATTTTTGTTGTGAGGGTTCATTGTTGCTGGGGTGTTTTTTTTTTGTGGGGGTCCATTGTTGCTGGGAAGAGTCAATTGTTTCTGGCTGCTAGAGAGTCCATTGATGCTGGCTGCTGTAAGACCTATTGTTGCTGCTGGGGTCTATGGTTGCTGGGGTGGTATTTTGTTGTGGGGGTCCATTGTTGCTGGGAGGAGTCTACTGTTGATGGCTGCTGGAGAGTCCATTGATGCTGGCTGCTTGAAGATCTATTGTTGCTGCTGGAGAATGAAATGGCGATCGTTGCAATTTTTTTCTGTTACATGGTATTTTCCCAGTGGCCATTTTTCAAACTTTTTTTTTTTTTTTTTTTAAAAATACACTTTAGTGAATTAAAAAAAAAACCCCACAATATATACCCCATTTTTTGTAAAATATGAAAGAGGATGACACGGCGAGCAACTAGATACCTAGCATGTCACGTTTTAAAATTGCGCATGCTTGAGGAATGGCCACAAACTACGGTACTTACAAATCTGAGTAGGTGGCACTATAAACACTTTTACAGATTACCAGGTTAGAGTCATAGAGGAGGTCTATTGCTAGAACTATTCCTCTCACTCTAACGATCGCGGCGATACCTCACATGTGTGCTGAAAACACCGTTTACATATGCGGACGCGATGTACGTATGTGTTCGCTTCTGCAGAGGAGTGGGGGTGCTTTTAACCCCTCCCCCTCCAGAGGACTCCTCCCCCCCCCCCCCTCCTGACCAGGCCATTTTTTTGCGTTACGGCACTGCGTTACTTTAACTGACAATTGCGCGGTCATGCAACGCCGCACCCAGATGGAATTTATGTCCTTTTTTTCCCACGAATTGAGCTTTCCGAAATTTGAACTGAATCGAATTTGAAAATGAAATCAAATTGGAAAATGAAATCGAATTCACAATAGAATTTTGAGAGAACATTGAACTATAGAATAGAAAATAATGGAATATAATAGAATAATAGAGTAGAAAAGAATATAACAGAGCAGAATCAAAAATAATAGAACAAACTATAGAATAGAATAGAACTGCAAAAAATAGAGTACAATAGCAAATAATAGAATAAAACAGAACAGAATAAAAACTGAAAGAAAAGACTAAAATAGAAAATAAAGGAATAGAATAGAAAAGAATAGAATAGATTAGAATCTACACTCACCGGCCACTTTATTGGGTTCCACCTGTTCAATAGCTTGGTAACACCAATTGCTAATCAGCCAATCATATGGCAGCAACTCAATGCATTTAGGCATCTAGACCTGGTGAAGACGACTTGCTGACGTTCAAATCGAGCATCAGAATGGGGAAGAAAGGGGATTTAAATTGCTTTGAACGTGGCATGGTTGTTGGTGCCAGACGGGCTGATCTGAGGATTTCAAAAACTGCTGATCTCCTGAGATTTTCACACACACAATCATCTCTAGGGTTTACAGAGAATGGTCCAAAAATATCCAGTGAGTGGCAGTTGTGTGGAGGGAAATGCCTTGTTGATGTCGGAGGAGAATGGGCACACTGGTTCCAGATGATAGAAAGGCAACAGTAACTCCAATAACCCCTCGTTTACACCCAAGGTATGGAGAATACCATCTCTGAACGCACAACACGTCCAACCTGGACGCAGATGGCTACAGCAGCAGAAGACCACACAGGATGCCACTCCTTGTCAGCTAAGAACAGGAAACGGAGGCTACAGTTCGCACAGGATCATCAAAATTGTCAATAGAAGATTGGAAAAATGTTTCCTGGTCTGATGAGTCTCGATTTCAGCTGCGAGATTCAGATGGTATGGTCAGAAACAGGCTGGTGGTGGTGTTATGGTGTGGTGGATCCATCCATCCTGCCTTGTATCAACGGTTCAGGCTGGTGGCGGTGGTGTCATGGTGAGGTGGATCCATCCTGCCTTGTATCAATGGTAGGCTCAGGCTGGTGGTGGTGGTGTCATGGTGA